TTAAGCAGTATGGAGCACAATTCTGTGCGTATTAGATGCTCCGTAAATACCCAACTTCTCAGGGCTCTACACTGATAGTTTGACCTATTGGCTGTAAACACACCAGCCAGAAATATAAATAAAGTTTGAAACAAAGTCATGTCAGCCACTTGGAATGGCTTGCTGCTTATTGTTTGTTTTGTGTTAGGGACCTCAAAGTTCTCATCTTCTCTACTTGACTTTTATCCACATTTGTTTGGAAAGATATATTTTAGTGTCACCAACATGGGCTTTCTCCTCCTTGGCTTTTGTTTTCATTATTTTTTATTTTAATCGAGGAATTCATTACAAGTCCCATAACTGGGAACTCATGTTCTGATTCACTGTTGCTTTTCTCTCCTCCTTACCCATTTTCCAAGTTAGATACACTTCTCAAGATCCAATTTGAATAAGTGAATTTACCCTTGACATACACTGCCTTGGATTTATAGTTATCTTCTGGTGTGTGTCGTGTGTTTTATCTGTCCAACTCGACTGTAGTTTGAGAATGAACTTGTCTTATACATTCCCCAGTGCACAGTGTAATGCTTTGCATAAAATAGATATCAATGTTAGGTTGAAGTGTTAGATTATTGATAAAGTCAGGAGCAACTGAATATCTTCACAATTCTGCCTGAGTCTCCCCCGCCCCCACCCCCTTTGAGACAGGGTTTCTCTCAAGTGATCCTCCCACCTCAGCCTCAGGAGTAGCTGGGACTACAGACGCACGCCACTATGCCTAGCTAATTTAAAAATTTTTTTTTGTAGAGACGGGGTCCACTATGTTGCCCAGGCTGGTCACAAACTCCTGGGCTCACAGTATCTTCCTGCCTTGGCCTCCCACAATGCTGAAATTACAGACGTGAGTCACCAAGCTGGGCCCTGAGTCTACCTAGTACTTCTCCTTTACAAAGCTAAAATAAGTTGAAATAAGTACACATAAATGCTGTGTTTCTTTCGTAAGTCATATTTAGGCACAAATGGGGCTGAGTAAAAGGGCCAGAGAGTTAACAAAGAAAATCTGGATTAAAATGTTCATAAATCCTAAGAACTTATTCCTAGAAATATCTCCCTCATTTGGCACTGTTGTTCAACTAGCTCAGTGTGTAATTTTAAATAAGCAAATATTCACTGAATGCCTATCATGGCCAGGCACAGCAGTAATGAATACTAGCATGCAAAGGACCTCATGGGCCCTTCTAGATAGAGTCCCACATCTCTTACATTATTACTGCAGTACCCAAATTGGTCTCCCTATTTTCGCCCTTGCCCCTCTGCAATTCAGTCTCAACACAGCAGCCAGAGAAATCATGATAAAACGTAATTCAGATCATGTTAATCCCTTACTAAAAACTACTTTTTTTTGGTTTTTTTTTTTGACAGTCTCACTCTGTCGCCCAGGTTGGAGTGGAGTGCAGTGTTGCGGTCTCAGCTCGCTGCAGCCTCCGCCTTGCACGTTCAAGTGATTCATGTGCCTTAGCCTCCTGAGTAGCTGGGACTA